CCAGCCCTGCTCCTTCCTCAGCTCCCAAGGGAGAGCCCCCCCCCCCCGCCCCCCCCCCCAAACATACACAGAGCTCCCCTCCCCCCGGTAAGGCCAGCCAGGCGTGGGCAGAAGGCACCTACGTTGTGCAGCCCCTTGTGGAACACGAGGTCCCTGTCGCCGATGGATTTCAGCCCCTGGACCACGTAGGAGCCGCCGAACCGGGAGTGCCTGGGGGCACAGAGGTTGGGGTGAGCCAGGCGAGGGGGGGCGGGGGAAGAAGATGAGCTGCAGTGCCCCTCCCCCCTCCCCCCAGAAGGCAGCAGCCTCTGGCACACAGGAATGTGGTGCCCTCTGAACTGAGGGGCAGGAGAAGGGTGGGCCAGAGCAGTTCCTGCACAGTTCGGTGCCCCTCAACCCCGACCCGCAGCCCCCTGCTAGCCCCACCCTGGGCTCCCCCCTCCCCTCAGCTCTGCCCGTGCCCCTCAACCCCGACCCGCAGCCCCCTCCTACTTCAGCCCTGTGCTCCCCCCTAAACCCGACCCGCAGCCCCCTGCTAGCGGCTGCCCACTGCACAAACAGCACGCCATGGAGATCTAGATGGTGTATGGAGCCCCAAACTCGTGTCGCCAGGCCGGTGTCGAGCCCACTTCTCCGAGGGGAGGCACCTGATCCCCCAGCCTCCTTCCCCCTGCCTCAGGGAGCCAGCCGCAGCCCCCAGCTCACCTGCTCCCTCGCTGGAACGCCCGGCTCTTCCTCTCCGCCAGCTCCCTCTGCCGCAGCACCTCCAGGTCCCTCACGTCTGCCGCCTGCTCCTTGGCCGGGCGGGCCTGCCCCGTGGCCGCCAGTTGCTCCGGATCCTGCTGGGACAGCAGGCTGGTGACCTGCCCATCCTACAACACGGCCACCCCTGGGGGACAACATATCCCAGCTGGCACTGCTCCACCGGGCTGGGGGGCAGGGTGAAGGCCCTGCTGAGACTCCTTGCGGGTGGGGTGGTGAGGCTAGCTGTCAGGGGCTCCGTGCTGGGCCTCTTGGAGAGATGCCAACACCCCCGTGCACAAAGGTGTGGTCCCCCAGCCCCTTGGCACAACTGGCTGCCGTATGTTCCGCCCCCCAAAAACATGCATCGCTTCCCCCCCTGCCCCCCAGAAATGGATGAATCCAGCCAGCTTCCAACCCAGGAGTACAGCAGGGGGGCGCCCTCCTGTCAAGGGCCCCCCGCTCCCCACCCGGGCTCACCTGGTCCCTGAACATCAGCGAGATGATCTCCAGCACGTGCAGGCCCCACTGCTGCTCGGCCGAGGAGCTGGCCAGGAACTTCAGCAGGTCGTCCATGCCGCTGACGTGTATGGCCCAGAGCACCCGGTCATGGGTGCTGGCGTCGTCGTCCACGCTCTGGCACACGGGAAGGGGTGTGGGGCTGAGCGTGGGGCAGGGGCCCAGCCTCCAGCCTCCCCTGGCTACCGCCCCGCCACCGGGGGGAGCTCACGCCACACAAGAGCAGAGCCTGGCTTCTCCCTGGGTCTCCCACCCTTCCCCAGGGCACGGTGTCCCAGCGGGGCGATCCCGGAACTCGCTACCTGCCCCCCACGCGGGGAGCGAGAACCGGCTGCAAGAGATGACAAACCCACACACACACACACTCCGCCCCTCCCAGACTGCCTCCAGTGAGAGCAGCTCCCCCCAGCCCTCCTCCTCACACCAGGGCTGCTGGCCATTCGCCAGCCACACGTGGCAAGGAGACGGAGACCCCTCCCCTGCCCACCAGGGGGATCAGCCCCCACGCCCCCTGAGCAGGGGATCAGCCCCCCCCCCATTACCTTCTCCTCCTCGGGGTCGGCGGGGATATGAAGCACGTTCCGCACCAGCAGCAGAATTCTCTCGACCAGCAGGTTGTCCTCTTCCTGCCTCTGCTCCCAGTCCTGGGGGGACCAATGAGAAAGCGACTGACGGAAACCCGCTGCCTCCCAGCTCATCCCAGCCCCCCGGGGGCAGGTTTGGGGCCCATCCTATGGGAATTAGGCACTTGACTCAGTGCCAAACTCCCCTTGCCGTCCCCTCCCCGCAGGCCGGGGCCACACTCACCAGCTGCAGCAGGTCGTAGAGTTTCTCGCTCAGCACCCCGAACACCTTCTCACTGGCGAACGCCTGGCGGGGAGAACCCAGCATGAGGGCCGGGGCCGGGAGGGGAGCGCCCCCTGTGGCATGGGGCGGGAGGGGTATGGCCCTGGGATGCCGGGGGGACGCTGGCTGATGCAGAGCCAGCAGGGGGAGCTTAAGGGCAGACAGGCCTTGTACCCACCCCTCTGGCTCCAGGGCGCAGGCAGCCCCGGTAAAAGGCGGCCAGCTCTGGGGGGGAGCAGCCAGCCAGGGGGCGGAGAAGGGTAATTTTAGCTCCGGGCACCTGGACACTGATTTCCCGGTCACCCAGAGGCCCCCCACTCCTCCTGGTGGCATGAAGGGGGCATCCAGGGCTGGAAAGACCCATGGATCTCTGTGACCACCCCCCTCCCGCCATTCAGCCCCGTGTCAGACTGGGACAGGTGGCTACTTTTAACTAACAGGGCCACCTTGGCTCACCCCCCGCTGGGATGGGGGCAGCTGCCCCCCTTCCCCACAGCCCTGTTATCCCGGGTGGGGGGGGGAGGGGGGAAGAGGGCAGGCAGCCTCACCTCTTTGTAGGCCTGCAAGTAGGACACAACCTGCAGGAAGCAGTGCCGGGAGCCGGGGTCGTGCGGGACTTTGCCGAAGCAGAGCAGGGCCGGCTGGGTCAGGTTCACCATCAGCCTGTGGAGGGAGACAGGGGGGACACAGACATGGCAGGAGCCTCCGGCACCCCCCAGGGCACAGCCACCCAGCTCTCGAGCGACTTCTCGCCAGGTGCAGGACCCGGCAGAGCGCCTGCTGGAGGCCAACAAGCTTGCTGCAGCCTTGGGATTTAGATCCAGAGGTCCCAGGTTCAATCCCGGCTCACCCACCCAGGGCTGTGGGTTCCTCTCCCAGCCCAGCCCTCTGCACCGCAGCCACCCCAGGAGCTCCAGAACAGGGACTGGGGCCGACAGTTCTGCTCCTTGGGACCCAGGCAACGCTCCCGCATGGGGGAGACAGATTGTCCTAGACTGCGGAACTACCCGCCACAGGATCCTACCACTTCCTGCGTCTGCCTCCTCCAATATGAACCCAGAGCAGCACGGACACTGTAGCTATAAGACACCGCACCCCCCCCCACCCCCCCGGAGGGATGCTAGCCATGTGGCTTGGCGCCAGGCTGGGCGGAGAAGCCCGCAGGCTGGGAGTGGACACCGTGGGGCCGTACCTGACGACAGCGTCGAAGAGCAGCTTGTCCTGTGGGTACTGGGCGATGAGGGGCAGCAGGTCGTTCTGCAGGATCTGGGCCGCGCCCAGCTGCTGGCGGACGTCCCGCGTCTCATCCTCATAGCGCAGGTAACGGATCAAATCCTTCACGCTCTCTGGGGGATGGGGGGAGCAGAGGGTGTGACCCCCACAAGCGCCCAGCCTGGCTTCTCTGCCCCACCCACGCAGAGTCCCGGCCCTGCCCACACAAGCAGCCGGTCTCCTCCCCCCCAGAGCTGGGCGCATCCAAAGGGACCACGCAGCGGCTGGGACGGAAGCCGCTTTGAAACACCCTTCAGGCGGGGTGCTTCTTCCTTTGGGGTCAGGGGAAGGGCAGACTCAAGTACCCAGTGAGGGGAAAGGGTCGGTCAGCACCCCCCTACTGGGGACAGGAAGACACGGAGAGGAGAAGGGACTGGAACCCAGGAGTCCCGGGGAGCAGCTCCAAACCAGGAACCCAGCCATCGCCTCCCGGGTCGGCCTGGTGAGCCAAGGATCTTCCCACCCAGGGACTGGCTCCCCACAGCCTCAGCGACAGTCAGCCCCCCCATTCTGGGCTGGCCCCTCGCCGGCGTACCCAAGCAGTCGGGCTCCTTGTGGTACACGTCCCCCTCCAAGTAGCCCAGGGCGCTGCACGTTGCCAGGAGCTCGCAGTTCATCATGTACAAGTCCATAAATCCCGGCCCGGCTAGAAGAGGGAGCGGCCAAAGAGCCAAACCTGCAAGGACAGAACCAGTGAGGCCTCCCGCCACCGCCCAGGACGGGACTCGCCAGCCCCACCCCTCACTCCAGCCCTTCGCACATCTACAGCACCAGCCGCCCCAGGGTCTCCGAGCCCTTCGCCAGCAGTCATGAGGGGTTGGGGGTGGAAATCACTCTCCCTCCATGACCAAGTGGGGAAACTGAGGCAAAGCAAGATTAAGTGACATATCAAGGGTCATGCAGTGATCCAGGAACACAGCTAGGGGGTAGAACTCAAGAATCCCAACTCCCAACCCCCTCCCCCCCACCACCAACCACTAGACCCCACTCCCCTCCCAAAGCCAGAGACGGAACCCAGGAGTCCTGGCTGCCAGCCCCCCTGCTCTAACCACTAGACCCCACTCCCCTCCCAGAGCCAGGGACGGAACCCAGGAGTCCTGGCTGCCAGCCCCCCCCCACTCTAACCACTAGTCCCCGCTCCCCGTGAACCCAGCAGCGAGCAAAGACCCAGCTGAGGACGGGACGCGGACGCACAGGCAGGCACTGGGGAGCTGCCAAGCGCTGGAATGAGCGGCGAGCCTGGGGGACCAGCCCACGACACCCGTCTCTGGGGAGGAGCCCTCCCTCCACGGCCCGGTTGCCCGCAGGGGAGTTGCTATGGAAGCAACGCCCGGTGCCCTGGAGACCGGGGCGAAGGCAGCAGGCTCAGGTGGCCTGCTAAGCAACGCGGAGTCGGCTCCCTGGCAGATGGAGACACGTGGCAGCTGTCCCGTCAGCACCTCCAGCTTCCCCCATCCCTCCCCCACAAACACACACACACACTGGGGCCCAGCCGCAGAACAACCCCCCCCCACCCACCCAGTCACAGGGACATTCACTCCCTGCCCTGGAGCACAGCCCCTGACGGTTCCCACAGCCCCGTGGTTCGGGGGCAGGTCGCTTCCCGCTCCCGAGCCGGGTGCTACCGGGACACAGTGCCCCGGGAGAGGAAGCGACCCGCCTGAGATCACATAAGGAGTCAAGGGAAGAACCCAGGAGTCCTGGCTCTCAGGCCCCTGCTCTGCCCACTCAACCCCTCACTCCCTGCCCAGAGCTGGGGGCCTGGCTGTTAGCTACGTGTATCACAACCAGGCTGTCCTTCCAACAGGCCAATTCAAACCTGCGAACAGGAAAGGCTGTTCCCCACCCCATCCCCACAGCCCCGTGAGCCTGTGGAACTCGCAGCCACAGGAGATCACCGAGATCAAGCACGGAGCAGGACTGGGCATTAAAAAACAGCCGAGACCTCCAGGCCACAATCCACCCACTAACTACCACGGCCTGAAGGAAACGGCCCTTTGCACCTGCCCTCAGCGGAGACGGGATCCCGGGCTGGATGGTCCCCCGGGTGATGCAGCCTGGCCAAGATTCAGGAGTGACACCCAAACAGCAGCAACACCCCCACAGGGGAACAGCCTCCCTTCTCTCCAGTACAGATGTGAATCTAAGGGCCCAGGAGGGAGGCAACCAGAGCCCTTGACCACCAGAGCCAGGCTGGGCCGAGGGTCCAGCAGAAAAACTGCACAGTCCGGAGCAGCGTTTGCTCCAGGATCTCCCCCCCGCCCATGCCTCCTTTCCCTGCGACCCCCTTTCTGCTTCTAGCCCAGCCGGTTCCCCCGCCCCGGCGTGCACTCACAGAGCCGGTCATCCCAGGCGCTCCGCCAGTCTGCCCCCACCTGCCCTACAGATCCTGGCAGATGAACTCTCTGCTGCTGGCGTCCGCCCTAAAAAAGGCCTTTGCTTCCCCTCCCTCCGCCCCCCTTCCCCCCCCGCAGCGCACCGGCACCACCCCCGGGAGCTGGCACATCACATAACTCACTTATGCAACTGCTCCACTTCCCCCGAGCACCGCCCGAGCTAACCCATTGCCCTGCCGCTGTCCGAGGGGGGCCAGGCCGGCCCGGGAGGGGCTGGCCGCGCTAAAGCGGGTCACTGTGTCGGGGAGCGGAGACGCCTCCTCCCCACGGCCAGACGGTTTATATTTCACCCACTGGCTGCGCGCACCTCAGCCTGACGCCCCATGCCGGGCCTGCCCGCAGCACCCAGCACCCAAGGAGTCAGGCAAAAGGCACCGATGCCAGCACGAAGAGCTTTGGGAAGGGGACAACCCAGCCGACCCCCCAGCGAGGGGATTTACACCCGCTTTAGGGGGCTGAAGTGATTCACGGAAGGTTCAGCGGAACACAGGTGGGAAGAGAACCCAGGAGTCCTGACTCTCCTCCCCCCACACCCGTTCTAGCCACTAGACTGGCCCCCCTTCCCCAATTAAATCACCCCGCGGGGCAGCCAGACAGACAACAATTGGGTGATGGTCACCCGCCTCCTACTTCAGTCTGAGCCCCAGAGGGCAGCTGAGACACCAGCCTGACCCGGGCACTCCCCTGGCCTGGGGCCTCCCCAGCCTGCCCCAGCTTAAGGCTGGGGGTTTCAGAGGTGCCCTCATAGAGCCGTGGCATCCTGCCCCCCACCCAGGGCCTCCAGCTCTTCTGACCCCCATGTGGAAGGGTTGGGCTGGTGCCAGGGCCCCACCCCTTTCCCAGGGAACCGCACTAATCCCCCTGTTGGGAAAGCCAGCCTCAGTTTCCCCTAGTGGGCTGCTCCAAGGCCAGTGCTCCAGCTGGGATGAGGGCAGTTCCTAGGGACCTGACCCGACATTTCGAGTGGGGAAAAGCAAAGTCGGATGAGAGGGTGGGGCCTCTAACATCTAGCTGGCCTCAGTTTCCACTTCCCCACTTTGTCGATTACCCCTCAGCCCCCCACAAGCAGCCCTCCGCTGCCTCGGGGCAGCAGCGAGGGGGGGGATGATCGTGACAGACGGCACCTCTCAGCGATGCGGCGCTGTGTAAGGGACCTGGCGTCTCCTCTCCCGCCCCCAGCCCCAGCCCGGCTCCGTTAACAAAGGCCGAGTGAGGAGGCCGAAATAAATGGGTCACGAGGCGCAGCGTGAGGCCTGCCGAGCGCACGAGGCACCGGAGACGTCACCGCCGCACATGGGCCCAGCTCCACGGCGCCTGCCCTGCTCAGCAACCCTCTCCCCGGGCCACGTGAGACGGCGCCGAGGGGAGGGGGAACGGCACCTCTGATCCGGGCCCCATCTCTGCTGGCCCCCCCCCAGCTCCCTCCCCCGCCAGTTCCCTTTGTCACGAGAAAACTGCGCTGGTTCGAAGCAGGTTAGTTAAACGGGAGCCAGCCACTGGAAGGATGCTCTGGTTCCAGTCCAAGAACCGCTTCCGGCCAAACCCTCCGGGGACACGCTTCAGCCGAACCGAGATCGGAGTGCCCACCCGCCGGTTAAACTGAACCGGTTTTAAAAGACCAGTTTACACTGGTCCAGATTCCCCACGCAGCCAGGACCCCATCCCACGGGGCAGCGGCTAGCCTGAGGACAGGGAGAGGAGAAATTGCCGCTCTCAGAGGCCCGGCAACCCGGCAGCTCCAGGGCATGCGGCAACCCGGCGGTCAGGAAGAAACTGCCCCCAGCAGCCCCATGACTGTCTACTAGGGGCTCCCTTGCAGCGGTTCATGGCGCTGGCTCCTTGATCTCATGGGGGCCAGGCAGTTTATACCCCCCACCCCCGACTATCCAGAGGCCAGACCAGCCTTGCGGGGCTGAATTGAGGAGGCAGGTGTGTGGAAATTAGCGCCCTGTATTCACTCCCCTCCATCCCTCTCTGCAGGACAGAGCTGCTGCCAGCGAAGGGGGGGCAGCGTCTGCAAACAGGCCTAGAGAGCGGGGAGCCAGCGCCCCAGACACCCAGGGGACCCACAGCTGGCCTGCTTCCAGCCCAGACAGAACCAGAACCAGGCCCAATGACAGAACCAGCGCTGCCAGGTTTATCCCCCCGCTTCCCAGCCTCTGGAATTTGCTGCCCCGACTGGTCGAGGGGCCCAGATTGGTTGGTCTCTAGGGCACGGTGAAGGGGGATCCTTTGCCTACGAGGGAGCGGGAGGGCACCGACTGGTTGTGGGAGCCCGGCCGAGCCGGATTGCACACCCGGAGCCGGGAGGAAAGACGCCTTTTGATAAAGCTCAAGTAAATTATGAAACAATAAAGGATGCAACCGATCCCCACTCGGGCTGGCGGGGACGTGTCTGGTTACATTGATTCCTTCCGCCGCGCAGGGCCACAGGCCGTGAAACCAATCGCCAACACTCCAGTCTAGACGAACCCCCCGAAGGAGCCTCACAGCGATCCCCGCTGCTTCGAGCCGTGGTGAGCGTCAGCCGGGCAGCGCGGGGTGGGTTCCCCACACGCCAGCCGAGTGGGGACACGTGCTCTGTGCTCCCCGTGCCCTCGGCCCCAGAGATCCCAGCGCCGCTCGAGGGCCCCGGGAGGCAGCTGGGAAACTCGCGCTCTCATCCAGCAGCCGGAGAACTCGGGGTTCAGGTTTTACGGGGAGGGTCTCCCCCCATCACAGCGCTGGAAAATCAAGGACTGGCTGGAAATCGTTACCTAGGTGTTTGCTATTGTTGAGGACCCTAAACCGTCCCCGTCTCCCCCCAGGCAAGGGGCGTTCGACACCAGCAAAAGCCCTCTGCAGCTGCAGGGTCTGGCTCCCAGGCTGACCCCCCCCATTCCCCATTGCTCAGGATTC